AGGGAAAGATGGTAAATTATCTCTACTTGCATATGACATGATTAAATACATAGAAAATCTAAAAGAATCTACATACACAGAGAAAGGGGAAAAAAAAGCCTCCTAGAAATAATAAATGAATGCAGTGAACTGGCTGGATACAAAATCAACATGCAAAAGTGTAGCACTTCTGTACATGAAATGGAGCAGACTGAGGTGGACTTGAAAAAGTTATCCCACTTACAAGAGCTACAAAAAAGCATAAGATACCTAGGAATAAACCTAACCAATGAAGTAAAAGACCTCTACAAGGAAAACTATAAAAAACTTAAAAATCAGGACCAGCAGTTAGCGTAATGGCTATGTCACTGAACTCCCACGTAGTCGACTGCAGTTCGAGTCCCAGACCTGGTGGCTTAAACTCACGCAGGGCGAGTGTACGTGTGTGCCCAAGATCTCAAGAGGAGAATGGAGGAGAAGGGATTGCGGCGTGGCCATCCCCCCTGAGGGTTGATTTCCTGCTTTCTGTCTCTCTGTCTGTCTCTGTCTGTCTGGCAAGTGCACGCACCCTATAGCAAAAACCTCTCAAAAAAAAAAAAACGCACCTCTCCAAAAAAAAAAAAAAAAAAAAACTTAAACATTAATTTGAAAATGACATAAAGAGTGGAAAAATAGAATCCCATGTTCCTGGAATGGAAAAATTGATATAATCAAAATGTCAATCCTACCCAAATTAATCTACAAATTTAATGCAACCCTTATCAAAATACCAGAGATATTCTACAGAGATTTTTTTAAAGCATACGGTTTGTCTAGAATCATTAAAGACATAGTATTGTCAAAGCAATTCTGCTCAAGAAGAGTGCAGTAGGAGACATCTCACTCCCTGACTCCAAAATATAGCATAAAGCTGTCATAACCAAAACAGTATGGTATTGGCATAGAAACAGACAGGTGGACTAATGGAACAGAATAGAGACAGCAGAAATAAACTACCTGACCCCAAAATATATTATGAAGCTCTGATCATCAAAACAGCATGGTATTGGCATAAAAACAAACATGTGGACAATTGGAACCAATATAAACCCCAGAAATAAATCCCCAAACATATAGCCAACTGTTTTCTAAAAAAGGGCACCAGTCAATCTAATGGAGAAAAGAAAACCTCTTTAGCAAATGGGGCTGGAAAAACTGGGCATTGAACTGCAGAAAGATAAATCTGAACCCCTATATCTCACCTTAAATGAAAATTAAATCAAAATAGATGAAAGATCTAAACTCAAGACCTCAAACTATAAAACCACTGGTGAATAGTGCAGGGGAAACTCATGAAGACATTGGCGTAGGCAAGGACTTAATCAATAAGATCCCCCCCAAACACAGGCAATAACCCTAAAAATAAACGAGTGCAAACATGTCATTTCAAAAGCATCTGCACAGCACAAGAAAGACTTAGAGTGAATTGACAACCCTTGAAGTGGGAAAATATATTTGCAAAGTATGCCTCAGATAGGGGTCTAATAACTAGAATATACAGGGAACTCAAGTAGTGCACCTGAAAAAAAAAAAAAAGAAAAGATTAGCCCAATTAAAAGATGAGCTCAACTTCTCTAAAGAAAACATAAAAACAGTAAAAATAATATGAAAAATGCTCAACCTCTCTTATCACAAGAAACTTACAAATCAAAACCACAATGAGATACCACTTATTCCTAGTCAGAATGGCTAAAAGATTAAGAAAATAAACAATGACAAGTGCTGGTGAGGTTGTGGTGAAAAGGAAACTCTACATCATTGGTGGCAATGTAAATTAGTTCAGCCACTATGAAGAACAATATGGAGGATGCTCAAAAACCTACAAATAGAACCACTATATGATCCAACACTTCCAGTCCTGAGTACTTACCCAAAGTTTAGGAATACATTCAATTGGAAAAGTACTTGCACATCCATGTTTACTGTGGCATTATTCACAATTGCTAAGATAAGAAATAACCCAAGCATCCATGGACACATGAATAGACTAAAAAAGGGTGGCACATATATATTATTGAATACTAACTACTCAACTATATATAAAAAACAAAAAAAACAAAAAAAACAAAAAAAAAACAAGGAGACCTTGCCAGTTGATAAAAAGGGACTGAATATGAAAGATTTACTGCTAAGCAAAACAAACCAGAATATGAAAGAGAGGCATTTTATCCCCACTCAATATATACTGAATGTCTGTACTGTATGACAAAAACTGAAATATTAGAAGATATAAAAGCAAGAAGAGAAATTGTGGATATTAGAGACAGTGTCAGGAGGGAAAGGAGGAAATCAAGAGGGAAAAGAAAGCAGCAAAACATTTAAGGGACACAAAAATGGAAAATTATTTGTTGATAATGTGTATGGCAATATCTTTAACTGAACTAATATGCAGTATATTCATGCTGGAAAATTCATTTTGCATACTGTAATGATATACAGTGATTGTATATAAAAATTAGTTAATCAGAAAAAAATAAATAATACAGATGACCTCTAGAAATGTCAAAGTCTTGACTTTCAAGCTTTTTATTTGATATACAGAAAAAAATATGACAATTCTAGTTAATTGGACAATAGATCACAATCCCTCACATGCAGGCATGTTCCTTTACAAACAGGCTTTGTTTTTTAGTTTCCTCTGCAGTTCTATATGAAGATTGATAAATAGATTTTACTTGTCTTATTAATAAAATGTAATTTGGATATCTTGAGTTTATGGTTTTATGATTTAGCTGGGTAAACTATAACAAGTAACTTTTGTGTGACTTAGCTAGGTAGGCAATTTTTGTAACATACCTTATGTATAAAACTTAAAAACATATTTTAAAAAGGTGTCACATATACACAATGGAATACTACTCACCCATAAAGAACAAAGAGATCCTGTCATTCAATATGAAGTAAATAAATGAAGAAGATTTAATGGTAAATCAAGTAAGCCAAACAATAAAAGACAATGTATATCTCCAGTGAATGCATGCACTCTATGGCAGAAACTAAAATATTTACAGATATAGAATTAGAGAGGGCAACTGTAGATACCAAAGACAATATGGGAGTGAGGAGGTGGGATATATTCAAAAGAAGTTATTTAAGAGAAATAAATAAAAATGTATGTATGTAAACAAATGAGTTAAGGGCACAATATACCAGAACAAATAGAAACAGATGTTGACAATCTTAAGTGTGTGTGTGTGTGTGCATATGCATGTATATTTTTATCCACAAAACTAGTTGAATAAAGGGACCAGCAGTTAGCATAATGGCTGTTGCTGGACTTCCACATAGTCGACCATGGTTCACGTCCTAGACCCGGTGGCTTAAAACTCACACCAGGCGCATGTGCGTGTGTGCCCAAGATCCCAAGAGAGAATGGAGAAGAAGGGATTGTGGTGTTACCATCCCTCCTGGGGGGGTGATTTCTCACTTTCTGTCTCTCTGTGTGTCTGGCAAGCACACGCTCTCTATAGCAAAAAAAACTCAAAAAAAAAAAAAACTAGTTGAATAAAAATTGAAGATACACACATAAAATAATGTTCTCTGATGAACATGGCAATATCACAGATCTGATTACTACACACTGCATAAATGCTTTGAGAAACCATACTGTATCTCACAAAGGTTTACAATTAAATATAAATTAAAAATTTAGAACCAGAAATAATGAAAAGATCAGTATACAAAACTCATACTTCTTAAGCCATATTAGTAAAATCAAAAAATTCAAATATATCTATTTACAAAAAAAAAAAAAAACCTACAGTAATGCAGCAGTAACACACGTGTGATGCTCAGGCCACATGGAAACTTCTTGGGTTCACTTCCCAATGTCTC